TGATCCTGGAGTCCTGGGATCGAGTCCTGCATCGGGCTCCCTGCTCAGCGGGGAGTTTGCTTCTCCCTCTGACCCTCCTCCCTCTCATGCTCTCTGTCTCTCATTCTCTCTCTTGCAAATAAATAAAATATTAAAAAAAAAATGAGGTAGCATATGTAAAGTGCTTAGCACAGGACCTGCTATATAGAAAATCTTCAATAAATGTTTGCAGTTGTCATTATCGACATGCTTAGCAAACAGATGGCATTCAACCAATATATTTATTCAGTGAATCTGAGCAGTCTCTTTTTCTTTTTTTTTTTAAGATTTATTTATTTATTTTGGAGAAAGGTGGGGAGGGCAGAGGCAAAGGGAGAGAGAGAATTTCAAGCGGACTCCCCACTGAGCACTGAGCCCGACGCGGGGCTCAATCTCACAACCCCAAGATCATGATCTGAGCCGAAACCAAGAGTCGAATGCTCAACTGACTGAGCCCCCCAGGCCCCCCTGAATTTGAGCAGTCTTTAAGAGCATCAGCTTTGAAGTCAGAACTCCTAGTTAAAATTCCAGCAAAGCTGCTTACAAGTGGTGGGACTTTGTTTCACTTCCCACCCTCCTCCCGTGTCTCAGTTTCCTCATCTGTGAAATGGGGCTAAGGATCCCATCTTACAGAGAAGTGGCGAGGATCAGAAAAGATCACGTAGGTAAAGTGTTCAGAGAGAGTCTGGTGTAGCAAGCAGGGAAAAAAAAATTGGAAGTAATCTAAACATGCAACAATAGGGAAATCGTGAAGTATGGTGTGATACATGAATAATTAAACAATGAGGTAATATAACAATGGTAACAATAGTAAATGGTGTAACAATGGTAACAATAGTAAAACAATGGTGATTTTAAAAAATCTTACTGAAATAACACTAAGGATGAATACAGTTGACCCTTGAACAATGTGGGGTCAGGGGTTCCCACTCCTGCACAGTCAAAAACCCAAGTATAACTTTTGACTCCCCCAAAACTTAGCTACTAATAGCCTTGTGTGACCAGAAGTCTAACTGATAACATAAACAGTCAATTAATGCATATTTTATATGTTATATGTATTATAGACTGTACTCTTACAATAAAGTAAGCTGGAGAAAAGAAGATGTTATTAAGAAAATCAGAGAGGGGCGCCTGGGTGGCTCAGTCGGTTGAGCATCTGCCTTTGGCTCAGGTCATAATCTTGGAGTCCTGGGATCGAGCCCTGGGTCGGGCTCCCGGCTCATGGAGAGCCTGCTTCTGCTTTTCCCTCTGCCCGTGGCTCCCCCTGCTTATGCTCTCTCTCTCACTCTCGCTCTATCTCAAATAAATAAATAAATAAAATCTTAAAAAAAAAAAAGAAAGAAAATCATGGAGAAGAGAAAACACATTTATAGTACTGTACTGAATTTATTGAAAAAAATCTGCTTATTAGTGGACTAATGCAGTTCAAACCCGTGTTGTTCACCTACACACTCACATATACGCTTTTGTCTATGTCTTTTTTTCCTTTTAAGAACAATTCCTAGGGGTGCCTGGGTGGCTCAGTCAGTTAAGCATCTGACTTCAGCTCAGGTCAGAGCTCCGTGAAGGGCTCTGCGCTCAGCAGGGAGTCCGCTTGTCCCTCTCCCTCTGCCCCTCCCCTGCTCGTGCTCTCTCTCACTCTCAAATAAATAAATACAAATCTTAAAAAAGGGGCGCGTGGGTGGCTCAGCTGGTTAAGCATCTGCCTTTGGCTCGGGTCATGATCCTGGGGTCCTGGGACAGAGCCCCATGTCCTGGGATTGAGCAGGGAGACTGCTTTTCCCTCTCCCTCTGCCTGCCATTCTCCCTGCTTGTGCTCTCTCTCTCTCTCTGTGAAATAAATAAATAAGGACGCCTGGGTGGCTCAGTAGGTTAAGCGCCTGCCTTCGGCTCAGGTCGAAATCCTGGAATCCCGGGATCAAGTCCTGCATCGGGCTCCCTGCTCAGCATGGAGCCTGCTTCTCCTTCCGCCGGCTGCTCCCTTGCTTGTGTGTGCTCTCCCACTCTCTGACGAATAAGTAAATAAAATCTTAAAAAATAAGAGAACAATTCCTAGAAGTGGAATTGCTGTATCAAAGGGTTGACAGCATTGTTAAGTCTCTTGATGGATATCACCAAAATTCTGCCCCAGATCGTAGTCCTACACGTGGGGTATGAGAGTGGCTGTTATCTTATATGCTCATCAGTACTGATTATTATATAAAAAATTTTTTTTCTGGGGCACCTGGCGCAGTTGGTTAAGCATGCAACTCTTGGTTTTGGCTCAGGTCGTGATCTCAGGGTTGTGAGATCGAGCCCCACATGGGACTGTGTGTTCAGCTCAGAGTCTGCTTTAGATTCTTTCTGCCTCTCCCTCTGCCTCTCCTGCTCGTGCTCTCTCTCTCAAACAAATAAAAATCTTTAAAAATATTTTTTTTTCTGAGAGACCAAAAAAATAAAAAGGATCTGTTTAATAATTTAATATCCACTTCATTAATTTCTTATTTGGGGATTCCATTTCTTTCTTATCCATTGTCTGTACTTTAAATTTTTGTTCATGTCCTTTGCCTGTTGTTCACCTTTCTTATTGATTTGTAAATGCTCTCTACATATGAAGGACACAAAGCATTGCCTGCCATCTATATATTGCTGCTTATCTTTTCCCTTGATGCACTGAAATTTATCATTTTTATGAGGCCAAATCCTCCTCACCCTCCTCACCCTCCTCACCTGTTTCCATCTATTGGAGATCGCCTCCTTACCACCTCCTCCAGGAAGCCCTCTGTAGGAGGCTCTTTTGGGGTTGATTTTCTCTCTCAGAGCCCTGAAGTAGGAGGGCCTAATTGCCCATCCTGAGGAAGCCCTTGGAGCAGATCTACCTCTGGGCTTGTTCTAGGTCTGATCTCTGACTGAGATCCCCAAGTAAGTTCCAAGGAGGCTTCCCCAAAGGTGGCTTCTAGAGCCTAATACCCTGCAATTTGTGCGGAGCATTAAAGAGGTAAAGACTGCACCTGGCCCTCCTCCCATCACTGCGACTTGGATAAAGTGCTGTCATCTCAGCTACTAGACTTGCTTTTTTAAAAAAATGGAGACTCTGTGAGGCATAAGATTTCAAAAGAGCACAAAAACCCAAACAACAAGAACGTTTAATGCTGGCGATGATACTTTAAATTGCATGTTCCCTTTGAACACTGGTGGGAGTGTGAATTGGATCCTTGTAGCACAATTCGGCAATGTGTGTCCCAGGCCACGGGGAGGCAGCAGAGGGCAGTTAGCGAGCCTTGCCTGGGTGTCAAAACCAGGAATGTGCCCTGGCTCTGCCCCATTAGCTTGTGCGACTTTGAGCAAATAAAGTTACTTCTCCAAGCTTCTGTTTCCTCTGCGAAGCCGAAATAATCATAGGCCCTGTTGTTAAAATTACACAGCTTAGGTCCATGCATGGAAACTTACTATTATTAAATCTTAAAGTTGTACATTTCCTTTGACCCAGGAGTTCCATTTGTGGTAATCTATTTAAAGGAAATGATTAGAGATGTGCACAAATATTTAACTGCTTGAATTTGTATGGGGGGGGGGGAAGGTATTATTTATAATAGCAAAATATTTATCACAGCTTAGATGTTCAACAAGAAAGGGTCGTTAAACAGATTAGAGTTCATGGATAGAATGGCATCCATGCAACCATTAAAACTAATGTTCTGGAAGAAAATGATGTGGAATGATACTGGTGATATTTCCAAACTTGTTTTTAGAAACATATAACATTCTTTATAAACGTGTGCCTCTGATTCTGTTAAAAACAAAAGAGATAGGTAAATGTACAGAAAAAAATGACTCCTCATGCAATCATTCATTCATTGGTTCCCCCACGGCTACTATGTGTTAGACACTGTGCAGGGGCAGGGAGGTGGAGAGGGATGCACTTAGCATTTAAGAGTATCTCTGAGGGGGTGAAATTAGGACTCATCCAACCATCCATTCAACAAATGTTTATTGAGCATCTACTTGTTAATAGTGCAAGGGCATTGGGCATGTACAGTGAACAAAACAGATAAAAATCCTTGCTCTCCTGGAGCTGACATTTCAGTAAACAACCAAAAAGCTAACTACAATTAGCTAATCATCTAGTTTGTTAGAAGGTGATTAGAGCAGGAAAATAGGAAAAAGCAGATAAGGGGAGGGGCTTAGTAGCATGCAAGATGGATATTGGCTGCTTTAGTTAGGGTGGGAAGGAATAAGCTCACTGATAAGGTGATATTTGAGTAAAACCCTGAAAGAGGCGAGGAAGGGAGCCCTGAGGATGCCTGAGGGAAGGGTCTATCCCAGACAGAAGGAACATCCAATGAAAAGACCGTAAGGAGGAAGAGCTCCGGATATTTTTTCTGGAAGAGCAAGGTAGCTGGGGCCCAGCGAGTGAAATCATAGGAGAGGATGTCCGGGTTTCGTTTATGGATTTCGTTATTGTTGTTTTCGGGTATTTTCCTTTTTTTTTTTTTTTATAAATTAATTACTTTTTAAAAACTTACAGAAAAGATTAAGATCAAATAGTGTCTTGGTTGCAGGTCAAGTTCCTGGACTCAGACAGACTCAAAACTCATTATCTACTTCCTGTAATTCTGAGGCAGCTAGTTCACCCCTTTGAGCCTCAGTTTCTTTGTCTGTAAAATGCGTATTAATAATACGATGAGGTTTTAGTATTTAGTGAGACAATGCAAGGAAAGCATTTGGCCAGGTGTGTGGCACGTAACCGTGATTTGGTGTAAGGTGGGACCTTTACACGAGTATAGTCCTTTCCCCTTTAAGAACCCGATTGGGCGGGGAGCCAGCTTCTCCGCACGCTTTCCAAATTTTCCAATCCCCGCTTGGCATTTTCTGCCCGAAGGTCTCCAATTGGGCAATCTGCACCAATCAGAGGCTGGAGCGGGCTCTGCCCGTGGCCCAGCTCCGCCCCTGAGCGGGCCCTGCCCCCTGCCCGGTCAGCCCCGTTGCTATGGGGACTGGTGGGCGGTGAAGGGGGAAAGCCCCGGATGTTCGTTGGGGATTTAACATGGCGGCGGCAGTGGCCGCGGTGGCGGCGGCGCAAGAGAGTTGAGGGCGGTGTGAGGGTTCAGAATTCCGGGTCGAGCAGCTAGGCCGCGAGCGACCGCAGCGCCGAGCCGGTAGGATCAGCGGTCAGGCCAGGGGATTGGGGTGGGCCGGGCGATGGCGGTGGGAGAGCTTTTACGCAAGTAGGGGGCGGGGCCGTTGGGGTCAAAGTTCACTCGAGGAGGGAAGGGTCGCCTCGGAGAGGTCGGGAGTCAGTGCTGCTGGGGAGGGTGGTGTAGAGGAGGTCAGAGGTCAAACTAGCGAAGGAGGCGTGGCGAAGGGGACCACAAAGTTCGAAATTTGAAGTGGGGGCCCGTTCGAGGGGGTCGGGGCGAGTGTCAGAAAATGGGGGTCAAAATTAATCATTTGAAGGGAGGGTGCGCTTACCAGAGTCGGAGATCACAACCATGGGGGCGGTAGTTTGGAGGTTTACGGCAGCAACCAGCGGATCAGAGGCATGAGCTTTAGGTTGGGGGGCACCTTTTTAAGGGGTCAAATGTGGGGCGGGGGCAAAGGTCAGAATCCGACAGATGATGTACCTGAGGGTCAATAGTTAAAACCTTAGTGGGAGACATTGCTGGGGAGGACGGGAGGGATGCCAGAGAGAGAGAGAGAGAGAGAGAGAGAGATCAGAGGTGCTTCCTGGCCGGGTAAAGGGGAGCCTCCTCCCACAAATAGTGAAAATAATAGCAAACACTCATAAATCACTATGTGCCAGGTCATTTAGATGCTTTCCATATATTTAATCCTCACTACAACCTTATGGGGTTGGCACTGTTATTAAGAGCCCAGGTGATCTGCCCAGGATCATCTAATGACTAAGTTGTGGGGTTGGGATTCAGACTCGAGTTCTGCGCCCAGAGATGTACTATGCTCTCTTGCCTCTCAAATAATCACAGTTTTGACTAATATTTAATGAGGGCTAACACTGTGCTCAGCGGTCTTGTTTCATTATACCATAAGTTTGTGAAGTGGGTACTGAGTAGACCCACTTTACAGACAGGAAAACTGAGGCTCGGGTAGCATCTGCTGAGTAACAGAGGCAGTTACCAAGCTGGGTCTGACTGATTCCAGAGCTCCTGCCCCCAGTTGTTACATTGTAGATTGTTGAAGATTGTTCCTGGAAGCAGGGGGCTGGGCAAGGCCAAGCCACTCCTTGGACTGGAATGGATGGTCTCTGGGCTCCCTGGAAGGGTGTGATCTGGGAAGAGAAGTTCTCATGGATCTATGGGAGTGGGGTGTTTGTGGGTGGCCCAGAGTCCAAGTGAGTCTGATGGGTTTCTGACTGGGGAGGATGTCCCTGAGTGGGATCCAGTACAAAGCCTAGTGTTCTCTTAAAACCCGGAGCTCTCATGGTGGTCCCAGATCGCTCCCACCTCATTTCCTACGGCTCTCCCGGTCCCTTCTCAAGCTCCAACCCCCCGGCCTGTTTGCTGTTCTTCAACTCTGTAGGCATATGCCACCCTCCAGGTCTTTGACCTTCCTGTTCCCTCTGCCTGGAATCCTTTCCCTGCCCCTCCCCCCCTTACTCACGGTCACCCACGTGCAGCTCTACCAGCACCACCTGCCTCTCACTGTCCCTCACACGCTCTTTATCTCCCTATCTGGTTTTCTCCCCAGGCCTTTGCTCTGTGCTTATCTTGTTTGTCAGGGCACCCTGTGTTGTCTGCCCCCCCCCCCCCCGAAGAATGTGGGCCCCACACAGCATAGAATTTCTCCATGTTGTTCCTTCCCTGAATCCTCCCTGAAGCACTGCGTGGCCGGTGGAGGGTGCTTGGTGGTTGGTGGCTGAACGTTGGACGCTGTGCTCGGTGCTGGGACTGCCCCAGCGGACAAGACGCAGAACCCCTGGGCTTCCAGGGGCTCTCGGTGTCCCTTGGTGGGAGCAGACTGGAACCAGACCCCCAGCCAGCGATACACGGCTGCATCTGGACCCCTAGGGTGCCCGGCCTGGGGGTGGGGGAGCAGTGGATCAGGGGCTGTGGAGCAGCGCTGGGGACTGGTGCAGACCCAGCTCCATCACCCACGGGCTGTGAGACCGTGGGTGAGTCGCTTAACCTCCGGGGCCTCCGCTTCTTCCTCTGCAAAACGGAAATGATAGTGACCACCTCATGGCATGGCTGGGGGGACGCAGAGCAGAAAGCGCGTGGCCCCGGCCCTGGCTCCGTGCTGTGTTGCCATTAGTCCTGCTGCCGCCGCCACCCGGGGAAGACCTCAGAGGTGGAGGAGGGCCCCTCTCCACCTGCCTCCTGGTTCTCAGGCAGCCACGCCACCCCCTTCCGGCTCTGGCAGGGTCACCAGGTGGGCACACTGCCAGCCAGTCCTGTGAGGCCGGCCCAACCTCCTGCCCCCGTGGTTCCAGCTTGCTCAGCATCCCCGGCTTGGCGCAGATAAGGAGGGTTAGGGCTTTGGCATCGGAGACCCGAATTCAGGTCCCTACCCTGTCCCCAGCTGTGGGACCTTAGGCAAGTGATTTCTTAACTCTCCAGTTTTGTTCCTTAGGATACATTTTAGATTAGGGGGAAAAGTAAAGCCTTCAATTAAGAGAACCCCCACGCCTCCAGCATCCGGCCTGGGACGGGACTCGCAGGGTGGATGGCGTTCAGTGCCCCCCCCCCCCCAGCCTCTCTGCCAGCTCCTTGCCCCAGCACCGGATCAGATGCAACCCAGCCAAAAGCTCATGCATCTGATCCGCTGGTTAGCGTCTCTCTGCAGGTCTTCCTGCTGTTATTACCCTTGAATGTATCACAGATTATAGAGCCGCAGCTCTGGATCCCGGCTCCCCGCTGCAGTCACCCGGAGAGCTTTCAAAACTGCCGAGGCCCAAGCCAGCCTGGGAGAGTCTGACTTGGATTCACTCGGTTGGGGGTGGGGCGGGCCTCAGTATGTGGTTCCAGTGGCCAGCCAGGCTGGACCACCACTGTTTTACAGTTTGACGGCTGATGTAACTGACGTCCCGGTGAACAACCTGCTCTTTTCTGCTCAACATTCGAGTGTGCGTTTCTCTCTGCAAGGACGTGTGTGTGACTCTAGGATTCATTGTCTCTGTTGTGAGTGTTTCTTCTTGTGATTGTGCCACATAGGAGTCACCTGTTCACCTGTTGGTGGACATTGGGATGGTTTCCCACTGGGACAGTGACAACGCCGAATCGAACATTCTAGAACACGTTTCCTTGTCTACTCTGGCCAGAGTCTCTCTTGAGCTTGTGGCTCACCGTGGACATGCTGGGCTTTCCAAATTGTTCTCCTAAGCAGTTGTACCAGTCTGCTTTCCCACAGGGCTTGAGGGTTCCCTTCACTCCATGTCCTGCTTTGGGGCAAGTTTGTGGCCCTTGCTGAAGTGCTTTACTCAGCCATGAGATGGTGGGTTTATGGCCCCCTGGGCTGGCTGGGAACAGCTGGGGAGATGGTTCACATGATGGGCCTAGCAGGGGCCTGACACCCACCGAGCCCCCACACCTAGCCTTTCGCCCTCTAGGACATCCAGGACAGTGACCACAGCTTTGATCCAGCTCTCCTTGGGAGGCATCTCTCAGGGCTGACGGTGGGAAAGGAGACTGTACTGACTTGAACCTCCTCAGGAAGGGGGCAGGAAGGAGGTGAAGTGTGGAAAGGGAGGGACAGAGCCTTGTTACACTCTTTGTGTGTGACCACTGGTCCCACTGGCGACCCACACAGCCCTAGCCCTGCCTGCATGGATTTTAGTATACAAAGGAAGACAGACCCATCCTGAGACAGTGACAGCCCAGAGTGTCAGCGCTGGGATGAGGAAGCACAAAGAGAAGCATCAGGGCTAGGATACGGGAGGCACAGGGATTGTAGGAATCCAAAGGAGGCCCCTGACCAGCCTGGGAAGTCAGTGAGGGCTTTCTGGAGAAGGAGACATCTGACCGATGAGAAAGAGTGAGCCAGGCCTAAGAAAGGAGGTGGAAAGAATAGAGCGGGTAGTGGGTACGGGAAGTGCAAAGGTCCTGAGGTCCGAATGAGCTTGGGATGATCAGGTACCATCAAGGAGGCCCAAGTGGCAGAGGAGGCAGCAAGATCAGGAAGGTGGGGACGATGTGGCAGATGTACCAGAGGCTGACAGGCGGAGGTAAGGAGTGTGGATTGCATTCAGTGTGTAATGGGGACTCATTGGAAGGCTTTAAGCAATATCTATTTCCCTTTATTTTTTTTATTTTTTTATTTTTAAAGATTTTATTTATTTATTTGAGACAGAGAGAATGAGAGAGAGCACATGAGAGGGGGGAGGGCCAGAGGGAGAAGCAGACTCCCTGCCGAGCGGGGAGCCCGATGCGGGACTCGATCCCAGGACTCCGGGATCATGACCTGAGCCGAAGGCAGTCGCTTAACCAACTGAGCCACCCAGGCGCCCCTCTATTTCCCTTTAATAAGGATTACTCATGTTGCCCTGTGGGGAGTGGATCCTGGGGTGCAGCAGCAGGGAGACCACAGGGAGGCTGCTGTAAGGGTCCAAGCAGGAGATGAGGGTGGATAGGATGAGGGGGCCCACGATGGAGGAGGGATCTGTGTGCTGCCAAGATTGTGAGGACTTCACCCATATACATTTTTTAAAGATTTTATTTTTATTTGAGAGAGCATGTGCGTACGTGGGGGTGAGGGCCAGAGGGAGAGGGAGAGAGAGAATCTTAAGCAGGCCCCACGCCCAATATGAGACTCAATCTCACGACCCCAAGATCTTGACCTGAGCCGAAATCGAGACTGGGACGCTTAACCGACTGCACCACCCAGGTGCCCTTACTTTACCCGTATTAACCCATTTGAGCTCCACAACAACCTACAAGGTAGGTACTGTTGTTATCCCCATTTCAGAGATGAGAAAACTGAGTCCCACAGAGGTACGTGACGTGCCTAAGGTTACACAGCAGGTGAGTGGCAGAGGTAGGACTTGAACTCCAGGCCTTCGGACTATAGAGTCACCACCTGTGGTGGCTGCCCTCCAGTGATTTGGAAGTTGTTTGAATAAGACAAGGCCACTTCCTGGCCAGTTGGTTCTTACCCAGGCTCCTCTTTAGATGGAAGCTCCTTGGAGGTCAGTTCAACCTGGGGTATT